GGGGGGGGGGGGGGGGGAGGGAGGAGAGAGGGATAGAACCCTCGCAATCACACACATGAAGTACATGTATAGGCCTGTTCTTTTTGTGTGCCTTCCAACAAGGGATACAAATGACACGGTGTGACACAATGGGCCGTTACATTCTTGTTTGCCAATTTTAAACAAAGATGACATGATTACTGCACTGTGTCGCTTGTTGGAAGACAGACTTTAGCTACACTTCTTGCACGGTTCATCTTTTTTCTTTTTCTCTCCAATATGAGAAATGAAAGATGAACAGTGCAAAAACTTCGGCTAAAAAACAGACCTTATTTACTTGTGGGTCTCTTTCACCAACCTTGGTTAAGTTAACCAAAGGTTAAATGGGGCTCATTTAGGTCGTGGTTAACTTTTAAACGAGATTTAACTTGAAATAAGTTAAACCTCGATTAAAAGTTAACTATGAGTTGTGAAACTGAGCCTAAATGAGCCTCATGTAAGCGTCAGTTAACTTAACCAAGGTTGGTAAAAGAGACTCTATGGCCTGTTTCTACCAATGTAGATTAACTTTAATCTCAGTTCAACTTACTCTTTATCTTTTTTTAATTCTCAGAACTGGAAAAAGATGAAGAGTTAGTTAAACCGAGATTAAAATTGAACTATATTGGTAGAAATGTGTCTATGTGCAGAGGATTCCTGCCCCTCTGACCTTCATCAAATCAAACCTAATCTTTTAAATTTAATTTCGCTTTATGTGCCAAGCTGGAAACCCACGAACCATTCTACACGAGTTTACAACTCTTCACACATAGCAAGAACAGAGAAGGGTCTTTTTTCATGGTCTGTGACATATTAATATCTAATCTAAATAGCCGTCAACTTTAATCATTACTATCTTAGTTCACATAGCAGAGCAACACTTTTTCTGCCAGATTCGTTCATTTCATGAAAAACCGCAAAGATATATTTTTTTATCCATCTTTATGATTGTGTATACTAAACAATTATCGTAAAATAAAACAGATGAAGAAAGGCCGTAGATATAAAAACACGGTAATTATTCAGAATACCTCCCTCACCTCCGATTTCGATAAAATTAGGCTCATTCGACGCGTTTTTGCATGAAACGAAAGAATCTGGCAGAAAAAAGTGTCGCTCTGCCTCGCGAACCGAGATATTTAGCGTTAAAGTTGACGACTATGGAGGTTAGGAAATCTGTTATACCGACTATG